GTTTTAAAGGGGGCGGTTCCCGACTATGCTATATGTACAGGAACTAATAAGGTGTGTATGTGGCATTGCAAGAACACTTATCCGTTTCCTAAAAATGAAGAACAGAATTTTTAGTCAGATTACTGCGGAATTGCAAAACATAATTATTCATGGGTTTTATAATTAGCAGAACTTACCTTTCCGCAGTTACGTGGGGATATCCTGTGCATAAAATTGTAACGGATTATTTAAACCAGTGCATATGTAGTCACATACAAAAGGAGCAAGTGAATAAGTAAACAACTTACATAAGGTGACTCATCGTCAGATCTTGTTCACATTGAGTAAACATAGATAAAAAAATTCAAAATGGAAGTCCAATCGTACGCAAATACCTATTTTTTAAGTATAACTTATTAGCTGTAAAATGACAAGCACTTAAAATTGAGGATTTATCTCAAAGTAAATATGTGCACCAATATGCATTGTGATTTTTTGCAGTAATCGCAATGTATGTCTCCCCTTCTGAAAAACTTGGCAAATATCTCAAGCGAAAAAAAATGAGGTCAATTTTTTGAACCTTACCCCCATTCGACATACTCATGATTGGAATTTCTAAAAAAGTATACAACTCATAATTCAGACATTAAAAAAACATTATTTAACCAAACGTTTTAAATCAAATCCCATATGACTTACCCATTTTCCTCACAGGCGTCCGTTACGAAACTTAAATAATGCTTAATTTGATAACATCATATCATATGGAAATCAATGGGCTAAATTAATATACAGAAAAACGCAATGTCAGACAAAAAATATGCCTAGTGTTGTAGTTATCACGTGTCATATTCAGTTGTATAAATGAGATACCTGCCCGTTTTAATGATGCTAAAGTGGATTGTGATTTCGTGAACACAAATGGCAATGTATGGCTGCCCTACTAAAAACCTTCGCAAAAAAATCAAGAAAATAAAGTGTGCTTAATTTATCCAACCTTACGCCCTTTCGACGTACTCATGATTCGAATTGCTTAAGCATTATACATGTCATAATGCACATGCAAAAGCACAATTTAATCATCAAAACGTTTAAAAATAACTTAAACTTACCCGCTTTCCATAAAGGCGTCCGTTCTGGAGTTAAAAGCACGCTTACTTATGTAATGAAAGATCAAAATGAAAGCATTTTATTCAATGTGTTTGCATTTAAATGGAAAGCTTACTTTTTGCGCATTTTGTTAATAAATGTGACTATTAACGCCACCAGAACGATGCCGGCTAGGACTCCAATAACAATGCCCGCAATCGCGCCTCCACTTAGATGAGTCAGAACTAGAAACCATACGAAGGGCGCAATTTATATGCATATCTTTATATGGAACAAATAAACCGCCGAATTACGTTTATATCAATTGATTTCAAAATAATATTTTAACATTTCCTTCTGGGCCAAATGTTGACATTTTTGAATCGTTATTGACCGATATATGAACACGTTAAATAAGTCAGTGATACGTTACGAGATACCCCAAATTCAGTAAATGGAAATGTGTTAATATTTATAAGGTTTTCAAGCAACGGTAAAAAGGCAAATAGTCCGGGTATATAAAGTGTTTATTTTGCAGCAGCCGGGTAGTAAACGGGAATGTATGGCATGTGCCAAGTTTATGCTGTATTATAAATTCCAACATAACTCCGTACAAAAAACAACAAATAATAAACAATCTGCATGTCAGACAAAATGGACTTAACGCCTGATCATGTACGCAGTGCAACGCAAGACAGATATGAATCAAGGAGATCAACATTTAAAAAAGCCCGAGTGACTACAATTAAAACGTTATATTCATAGTCGAAAAATATCGTGGACAGATAACAGTCACTTTCGTTGAAGAACGTTCAGCCGACCGCTAAAGGACATTATCTCTCGCGCCCTGCCTTAGGCCTACAGAGAAGCCCGGACAGCCGTAACAGATGGTAGAATAGCCTAGTATAGCTGGTTTATAGGCTTTTTTCGAGGAACATGGCAAAGCGGGACAGATTAGTTCCGTCAGCGGTGAGGGTTTATCAGCGAATTGCAATAACCCAAACCTAAACCGGAGCTTGTGATGCAATGATTACGGCACTTGATCCTGATTAAAAGCGTCGCACATTCGAGGCTGGGGGAGGATACCGCTTAACTCTGGGTGTAACTTGCTGAAAATGACTAATAAGCCAGAACTGTTTTTCCAGTCGACCTTGTATTTGCCGTCAGTATGATCTGCCTATACTAAAACCGAGTTTTCATTTGATAAGTAAAAACAAATTTTCATGGGATAGAGGTTCGTCGTAATCTGTTCCTCGCGAAATGGACTTGTTTCAGGTTATATGAACGCAATCGATATGGTCTTACTTTTAACTCTGTCAATACGGTGCGTACACGTATTTATATGATTAAATTGAAGAAATTACAGCTGATTACTGGTGCTAAAACACATCCGCAAATTGCAACAATATCGGCTGCTTTCTTTATGCAGAAGCAGTGCAAATGCATAGCCCTAATGCGGCAGCCCCCACGTATATAATAAGGCTCTCGACTTTAAGAACAGTTCACTATTTCGGTGGCGGGTTTCTTAATTATTCTGCACATCAGACTTCCTGAATAGGTTTACCCTTGTCTCCAAAGGTACCCATTTTATATACTTCATCGCAGTCGTCTCATATTCACATTGCCTAGACTCCATAATGCAGACATCCACAATTCGCTCACACCTCCTTGCTGCTAAATTTCGGATTGTTTAAACAAAGCTGCTTAAACATTTCTGGTGTAATTTTATTTGCTCTGTCATAAAACATAAACCTTTTCAGCTTTTTAGTGGGTTGCACCTGTTGTTCACCAAAAATGTGGCACCAGTAATCACTTCTGTTCTGGAATATAACTTGCCGGCTGGGTGCAAGAAGTATTAACAGAGCACAGCTCAAACATTGACGACGCGTTTAGTCAAACAGAATGTGTGAGATGCCTTCTAAGATGCACCTTAAGTGTCGACGTCACGTCTGCCCGCTGTGCTAATTATGCTCTTCTGAAATTGAACTGTTGAACTCCCCACGTTACCAGCATACATTAACGAATGGTTGATTGCAAAGCATGATAAACATTTACTGCTTAAGTGCAGTATCCATTTACAACCGCCTCTGGCAGACTACCATATCTTACCGCTGATATAAATTATGCGGCAATACGGTATTCCCACCAATTCCCCTTAGCTTTGCAGCTGCGAAGGTAAAAAGTATTAGCCGTTTTATTCTGACAAGCTCCAGTTATTGCTTCATCTCGTAAAAGCCCAGTCGTCCCTTGCTGATGCCGGCTCATCTTCATCAAGAAATCCATGTTCTTCCTCCTCCTTCAAGCTGTCGACGAATTCACGACATTCGTTCTTGATGAACCGCAAATTATGGTGCTGGACTCTCTGTCAATTAATGACAATAAAGTAATATCCCACCATAGCCAGGTCGGATGACAACAAATCTTGATGCCAGCTTTAGAATTTGCCCATGACTTATGAGCTGCTCTCTGCTGCGTCGTCTGACATATTCTTCACCCACCCACCTGTATCATCATTAGGATCCGTTTTTTTGAAGATTGCAGCAGTAAGGACTTACTTTATAAACATGCGATATACGATGTATGATATGATATGCAAAATCCCATTTACCAATGGAATTGGCCGACATGCAGCCTGATAGACGCGTCGGGTTACCTGTCCACGCGTATCCTGACGCAGACTTTCACCTTAGTTTTATTAGACAAAGCGTCCCGTCAGGTTGTTAACTTAAGTGCGTTTTCATATTTCTTCCTATTTTAAATTATCCACGTGGTTATCAGAAGTTGATTTTTTTGCAGGAAAACAAGGCAACAGCTGTGGTCAATAAACTTGTCGTATCGTCGGATTGTGAGTTTCAGTTGGGTCATCAAGAATGCAATAGGAGTGCAGTTTCTACATGGTTTCACGTGGAAAAAGCATTATAGTGGTTCTGTGGACAAAACGCGTGCGCTAACATAAAGGTGTGCGTCCGTTATATCCAAGTTCTTGCATTGAACATTCTAGTCTTATACACTTTCGTTAAGTATAAAATTTAAAAAAGCGTAAGTTTCTATCAAACAAGTACAAAAGTAGTTTTGTGATGCATTTTTTTTGCATACTACTCAATTAGCCAGTTTCTCAAATGGATACTTTTTGCTGGTAGTCAGAAAGAAGCTCGTTAAACTGCCCGTTTCCTTTCATGACGGCATAAACTTCAGAATAGACGACACGATAATCAGTATCATAATTTGAGTCAATAGCGATTAGCGAAGGCGTATCAATCTTTCGCCTGTGTCGAAATGCTACGTGATCTTTACTTTACTTTACATACTTTATATACCAGGGACAACAAAATTAACTTCTATAACCAAGCTCATATTTATGCTTTCTCATAAGCGATCACCTTTTGGCTTCGAAAGCATATGGATTGTGACCGCAATAGCATTCAATCCAGAAAATATGCAACTGCAGGTGTGTTCTCTGAATGAGTGGAGTTAGTCATTAAGAGTTGCATCTGTGTGCTAATGCGACCATACTTAATGGTAAAACTTGTCAACTTCGCGTCAGACTGAGCATCCAGATGCTGCTATGCAAAAGTTTTTTTTGTAGAAAACGTTGACTGACACGCTCTGACTGTCCAATATTCATCAATGTCTTGGTCTAAAATGTTAATTGTCAAACTAAATGCAAGTATTTCATACTTGTGCGCTTCACTGAGCACTTAACAAACTAAATTACAAAACAACGTTAAGCAGAATGCTGATATAATGAAAAATCAGTTTCGGGAATTGGTTAATAACAGTGGCCAGTGAGTTTTCATCTTAACATTAACGGAAAGTCTGCAAACGTTGCACAAATATACAAATACGTTTTTGCCATAATTTCACCTTGAAAAAGGACAGTGATGACCATTAGACACGGATATTCAGCGCCTCATCAGTTGAACAACGATTTAATGTATAAAGGCATACAACTTGATTACGTAGAGATTGACGGTAAGAGGATTGCAAATGCCCCAGCAGGTAAACACTGCGATCCAAGCAAAGACTGCTGGCAAGAAGTCAAAAAAACCCAATATTTCATCGCTATGGGCCCTCTGAAAGAACCGCACGCTTCAGTATCTGTGCAGCGTACCCCCGGTGATAGCGGAAATCCATATATCTTCTTGTACAAGAAATCTAGTGCGAAGGCCCCGACTTTCCCGAATAACGTTAAACCTCATTATGTGCACAATGCCGCTGAAAATGAGGTCATCCAACACTACGCAGTATTTACGAACGAACCAGGGAAAGTAACCTGGACTGGGCCTATCACCACGGAGAAGAAAGACAAGAGTATGATTACTTTGTATGGCTTGACCGGACTGAAAAAGGAGGACCAGGTGCTTTTCACTGGACGCTTGGAAAATCAAGAACGAAAAATGCTGATCAAGTATAAAAATGGAAAAACGTACAATGTGAGGATAATACCAATTCCTATGGCCGGCAAGACATCGGTGTCGTTCATTGATAACGCCAAGGGGTCCACGCCTGCCGAAGAGCCGGTGCCAAAAGATCGCACTGCCCAGATAGCGGGTCAAAATACCGTTCGTGTGCTCTGGAAGCCTCCAGCGGATACAAGTCAATGCGGAAACAAGTATCTTGTCATCGTCAAAAACGAAACATTCCAGGACAAGGCTACGGTGACGGACACAAAATACGTTTTATCCAACATGAATCCAGCTTCCGTTTACATATTCAATATACACGCTACTGACAAGCAGGGCAAGCCGTTCAACGCTTCAGCATCAATTAAAGTGAGGCTTTCAAAGACCCAGTACACAACTGTTAAAGATTTAAGTGTCTCGAAAGTGAATGGCAGCGCAATCAAGGTGAGCTGGAGCAAACCAGTTCCTGCCGATAAATTCAAAGACGAGT